GGGGGGGGCGGGGGGTGTGAGCAAAACAAAATAGGGAAAAATCCCTGCCCAGATTCAGAATACCATCTGTAATAGGTAAAGGACTAAGAGATTCTTTGCAGTATTGTATAATCTCTCTCATTAAGGAAAAAATCAAACAGAAAACAAACTAGAAACTAGTTTCTAAACTAGTTTAAGAGTCTGAAATTCTGAAACCTTTAAAATGTTCTTATTGTTCCCTTTTTTACCTTATGAGTTTAACAAACATTGACGCTAGTCCCATCTTTCAGTGGACTCTTCAAAATGTCATGAAGAGAGAGCCAAGGTCTCTTAACTTATTTCAGTCTGCCTCAGTGAGCCCTCTACCACTCTTCCTCTATTTGGAAAGTTTGCTTTTTTATTAATGGAGGTATTAATTAGAGAAGAGAAGTAAACCTAGGGTATGACTAAGTTACAGTTGTCTTAAGTCTGGGTGGAAAAATTGGCCTGTCCAACAGCTTAAAAACTGCTGTTTAAATTTAAGTTACAGCGTCAGAGAACTGATAACCATTCATTTCTTCTATTGCATTGATTTTTCCATCTCAAAGCTTAACTAGAAAAAGTGTATTCAAATAAAATTATAATTTTTAAAAGTATCTTTAATTGAAGAAGTCTTTAAAATAGCAACTACAAAAATGTAAAGAGAGGAAGTAGGAGAAATCACGTACTGTGATTTGGCAATTGTGATTTAGTAAATGAATTTAAATAAGGCCTATATAGATCTTCATTCTCCAATTACTTTGCTTCTGTGAAATTTGTGGTAAAAGCACTTGCTGCTATTGCAGTACAATTCTGATTTCTGACTGTGCTTGTAATTTGTACTTGAGCTCAGTGTCTGGGTTTGGGGATTAGCTGTCAGTGTACTGGATGCCTGCAGTAGCAGAAACTTCTGCAGAAAGGTACCTTTAATCCTTGTTTGCCCTACTTGTGCGTGCCCCAAATGGAATCAACTTTGAAAGATTCCTTCCTATGGTTTCTGTTGGCTTGTTCTTCATCTTACTTCTTTAATTACTTCTTAATATTACCTATTTTGTATTAGCAAATGTACCTGTGACTTCCTTGGAAGACTAAACTTTTCTGTCTTTTGTCCGCCCAGCAAATGTCTGAATCTGTATATTTTGGAAATAGAATTTCTAGATTTTTTTCCCTGTATACGATTTCTTTTCCCTAGTATCTGTTCTTCCTTACCACATTAAAGTAAAATTGATTTTTCCAACTCTTATTTTAAAATTTAGCTTAGCCACCAAGCTCTTCTGCTCAGTTTCTTAAAGTTAGCTGTGCTGGTGCTTCATTCCAGACGCTGATGGTTGCTGGTTAAGCTGAGACTCTTTGGCACTGGGAAAAGAAACCCAGGAAATTTGAATACCTTATCTTCGTGGTGTGACTAAATGGGAAACAGCTCTGTGAGAATTATCCCCCCACCCCCAATCTCCTTTTTCTGGCCTCAGATGACAAGTGACATCTTCATGCATGGTTTAATTCTTTTCTGTGCACTGAAAGTAGTAGCCTTAATTTTAATCATGCCTCTGTTTTGCACAGTATAATTACTCATGTCCTAAAACATTCAAAGCTGCAGACTGAGATGCTGTACCCTCCAGCAGATGGAGAGGAGACAGAAATGACTGAGTGATTTAAGAAGCAATTCTGTGGTATCATATAGCAGTGCCTTGTTGCCTCCATTGCCAGCACGTCTGAGGCTGGACTTCTCTGGGGTTTCATTATCTAAACTGCAGTGATGGAATACACAATTTATAGTGTCCTTCTTTCACAGAAATCAACATACTGAAGCCCAAGACTGAAATCTTACAAGTTTGACATATTTCCTCATATAAATAAGACAAAAGCTGTCGCCTGCAGTAAAATCTCTGAGTGGGGTAAACAGTGAGTAAGCCACTTGTGACTTGCTTCTAGGCTTTTACAAACCACTGTCTTCTGTATTGCATTAATCAGCAGTACAGAATAAAAGATCATTGGCCTGTTTGTGTACCACAAGATCAAGGAGAATTCTTGGAGCTCTGATCTTGAATTGCTGTCATTCAATAGCGTGGCTTTGCTGCTATAATACTTTGTCTGCAGAACTGCCTCCTTCAAGGGTAGTATTACTGAGGTTGTAGAATTAAACACATTTCAGAAGGTGTTTTGCAAAAAACTTCAAACCCAACTTCCATAACCAAGACAACAAAATGCCATGACAGTATACATTTTCAATTCAAACCTGGCAAATGGATGACATAATTTTTGTCTCCTGTATCATCCCAGAAAAGCATTCCCCTGGCCTGAAACTGAGGACAACTTGCACCTTTTATGCCCATAAAATAGACAATTTCATATGCAAGCAAGTACAACAGTTTTCCCAAGCTTCTGACTCTGAGCTAGAGATTTTTTGGATCTTAAATAAAATAAGTCTTTGTAATAGAAGGTAAAAAACCCATAAAGATTACGTGCCAGGTATTTAAAAAAAAGACATAAACCAACCAACCAACCAGACAAAACCTGAACTTTTGAATGCTTCTGGTCCAGCAGTCTGGGTTTCTATACACACCAGGTGGGTCTCAGTTGCTGATGTGACTGACTCATTGATTGATTTAGAGAGATTTGTCCTCTGGACTTTTCGTGTCATGCAAAGGCAGAATCAGTAGTTTAGTGCTGAGCCTTGACTTTCCACTCTTAGCAACACTAATGCTCTCCATTGCTTGGGATTATGTAGGGGAGGGAAAGGAAGTCTGCCAAGTGGTGACCCTACTGCCCAAGTGAACTGAACTCCTGTATACCTTTGAGTGTGCAAGGATCAGTCACAAAATATCCTGTCTGCTTTTGAGGTAAATACCTGTCATCATGAAATGACTTGAATAGTTGGAGGAAAACTTCTAGTCTGGAGGTGGGGAAGAAATAATTAACAATTATTAATCTGAGGGAAAATAACAGATTTTTATTTTAATTTCAGATAATGCTTAGTCTAGTAGTTAAACTTTTATTTTTTTTTCTTCTTAGGTCTTCAAATTTTAAGCCTCAGCCCTACAATTAGATCTGTGTTTTGTGCTCTTTGTGTTGCATGAAGTTGTCTTCTTGAGTCTTGCTAGGGCTGTGTCTGGAATCACACATGTTCTGGGCATGCAGTTGCAGTGTGCAGTTTCCAGTTGTGTCTTAAAAATAGGTGATAGCAAGTAGAAGATAATTGCTGGCTGCTAATTGGAGTCAGTAGGTAAAAGGGGATGTAATAAATCTTAGATCCTGTGGGATGTAGAGGATAGTGGAAAGCTTGCTGCCCTACTGTTTATGATTTAACTGCTTACCTTAATTTCTTGCACTCTTCTGTGCAAGTTTACATGTTCTTAATGTACAGGGCACCAAGCTGTATGTTATCATTTTTCCCTGAGACAGTCTAATGTCTTATTTCTTCTATGTAAGGTGCAGTTGCTTCAGTATAAACTGATGTCGTTCCTTGTGTTCTTTCTCATTGTTGAAGAGAGCTTAATGCATGCCTGAATGCACTTTTCTGCTTTCTGGGTCTGTAGAAACTCTAGGAGGTCAGTGGAGCTTGCTGATTAAAACAACCTCTGGGAAGACAGAGTATCTGTTTCTGGCGATGCCTCTTTTTGCTGGTGGGAGTGGGTTCAGTGTGCTTGACATGTTACCTGTAAGTGAAGAATTCAGTGGTCCTTATTTCTCTAACCCAGAGGTAATGAACTGAGACAATTAACTTAAAAACCCGCAAGCAGTAAAGTCATATGATGTTGAGCGCCCTAATTTCATCTGGGATAAAGACGGAGAAATGTTTGGTCATAGCTTGGGACAGAATTGTTGGAAAACTATTATTTTTCAATGAAAGAGTTAGACCAGTCTTGCTGTCAGAATGTACTAATACAATCTCAGTTTGAGTTTGTTGTTGTTTTTGTTTATTTTTTTTTAGTGTGGAATGTTAACACTGAACTTCCTGTTTGTCACAACCATGGCCTGCAGCCTGGTGGTCTGAGAACCTGGCCATGCTGCAAACTTTTTATCATACTTGTAGCACCTAACACCTTCCTTTTCTCTCTCCTACAGACTTGATCCAAGCAACTAATGAAACAAACGTGAATATCCCTCAGATGGCTGATACGCTTTTTGAGCGAGCAACGAATAGTAGCTGGGTGGTCGTATTTAAAGCCTTAGTCACCACACATCATCTAATGGTCCATGGCAATGAGGTAAGTGTGAACAGCTCTCTCAAGGCCACATTGGCACTGAACACACTCCAAACCAAAAGCATTAGTAGTGCAGAGGCATCTTGTCTGAACCAGAAAGGAGCTGGGGCAAGAATGATTCTTGATTAAGGGAAAACTTACTGTTAACAAAGAGCTGGACTGCTTGTTTGTCTCTCCATTTATAAAACCCTAAGACCCAGATGCAGCCTGTGCCAGGATGCTGACAATTTATGCACTGAATTTGAAAACAGCTACACAGGATTAAACACTACCTGGGATTTTTTTGACTAAGGGCAAAGTTGATGTACTGGCACATGTATTCTGCCATCCAAATAGTTGCCTTCTCTGCATGAATGTTAAAATCTTCCTAGAGGTATAAATTTAACTTGATAGCCTTTTAGATCAATTTCTCCTTATCCTTGCTTCTTATTGATCTGTATAGACAGCAGATATGTCTGCATAAAAAGTGACAGCACATTTAAGGAACTTCAGTGTGACTGTGAAACAACTTCAGTATGACTGTGAAACAGTTCCTCCCTGTCTGTATATAAAGTGTTTTCATGCAATGAACTTCTCACAGTGTAAATTCTTACTCATATTTTTTCCATTCCAAGTTTTGTTCAATGTTCTCATCTGATTTCTCTACCTGTTTCAAGCTGTAAGTCCTTTTATTTGATGAGGGGCTTTGCTTGTTGTTAAAGCAGGCCCTCAGCTTGGCTGAAACTGAGGGCTGCTGGGTTGAGAAGCCTGGGAATAGCCTGGATATGTGCTTTTTAAGTAGTTAAGTCTTGAGCTCCCTCAGATCCCTGATAATTAAACATTTTTATTGCTCCTTTCACAATATTCTTTGTGTTTTGCACATAATCTTTTTATATATATATGTACAGTAGAATATTTACTAGGGATTCTGACTAAAAGTAGTTAATCTGAATGGACAGGATGTTTTGGGGACGATATTGCAGGCTAAGAAAAAAATGAGTGGTTTCATGTTGTATGCTGAAAGTAGACTGGTGATCTTGCTGCTAGAAGGTACAAAGCCTTCAGATACAACCTGTGATAAGAAAAATTGCTTTGTGTTGCAGAGATTTATTCAGTACCTGGCCTCTAGAAACACATTGTTCAATCTCAGCAATTTTCTGGACAAAAGTGGATCTCATGGTAAGCCTACTTATATCTAGAATCTTAACAAGATTTTAAATAAGATACTATTGTTAATTTGCTCCTTCATTCATAAGATATAAATAATATAAAAATGTGCTACTGAAGCCTTTTTATAAGTACTTAGCAAATACAGGAATGCAAGTGAACTGCTAGATAACTTCAGAATAATATTTCTCATCTCCTGCAATATTTTTACACAGAAGGTGGAACTGTACAAATTCTTTAAGTGCTGGTTGAAATCTGGGCTGGGTCAGCTATCTCCTTAGCTCTTATGGGTGGTAAATGTTGAAATGGAGAACTTTTTGTTTAGTTTTTTTGGGTTTTACTCAGTCTTAAATGGTAATTCGTTTGCTTGGGGACACTGTGCTTTTTAGGCATTATCTGTGACTTCTTAATGGTAGGGCTCTTGGCACCAAAAGAACCGGTTGGATTTGATTTGATTTGAGTAAATGAATTTAGAAAGGTCTAGGCAGAAGCTAAGGACTTGTTCCCTCTGAATCTTAAAAAGCTTTTCTACTTTTCCCTCTGGAGTTATTAGTGAATTTTCCTGTGTCCTCAATTAATAGAGGAAAAGCTTGTTTCATGGTAGCTCTACCAGAAAAAAGAGAAAATATAACTCCTCAGCTGTCAGAGAATATTTGTAAATTGTATGCAGTCTACAGACATGCTACAATAATGGGCAAATTCGAAGCAATGCCACATTATTTCATCTCTTGATGTAGACATGTGACACCAAAAACACTTTCAGCATCTTTTAGATGTGGTAACAGATGGAACAAAGCTAAACAAATACTAAGAGTGTGTTCATCTAAGCTAAACATGATATATGTGTATATACAAATGACATATATATATATGTCATTCATATATGTATACTCAAAGACACTGGTGTTTGGCAACAATTCTGTTAAATGCATGCATTTGTGTTCTTCACCACTTTCTTTAAACTTAAATTGCCATTTTATAGATAATACACAGTGTATCATAGATAATGAGGCATGAGATTTGGTAGTGCTATGCTTGAGTTGGCAGGGATACTGAATGATGGGAGATATTAAGGGAAAATATAGTCAATGACTAAATTGAGGGGTGTGGATTTTTAGAAAGGTAGCAAAAAGGGACCTGAACTGAAGAGGAGTTGCCTTCTACACACGTTTCTGTGGCTTAGAGGAAGAAACTTGGGAGGATAGGCTGTAATACTAACTGCTCAGATGTCATAGGCTTGAAAATCACTGAAGTTTGAGGTGCCTTGTACAATATTATGTGTCTTGAGTATTTCTGGTGTAACGGTTCAAGGAAGGCAATAATCTCTGATGATGTCATCATGATTTCTTCATTCTGGTAAACCCAAGTCAGGGGAATCTTGAAGGTCCTTGTAAGAGTCAGAGTGGCTAACATACATGAAACATCAAGAGTGTTCAAGTTGAACTTGAGCTTTGTCCTGGAAGTCATGTGCCAGTTAAGTAAAAACTTTCTGTTAAGTTGGTATTTTTCCTTGCTAATAGAGGGGTAACTTTTTGGCCATCAAGTAGTGTTACCCCATAACTATGTAGGGGCCTCTGTCAGGTTTCCCCCAGAACCATGCCACTGGTGCATTGCATGAATCAGTTGGAAACAGAGGACAGTGGTAGATTGTTTTGGTGTACCACTACTGATCTTTCTTCAGAAGCTGAAAGATGTCTTGTGATGCCTGTTCTGTATGTGAAATTTCATAGTGTAACAGAAATCACATAATCTTGGGGTCTGTTGGCTGTATATTAACATTTACTAAAGAACTTCTGAACAAGCATGAAAATGAAATGTAAAATGTGAAACTGTTTTTTGCAGGTTATGACATGTCCACCTTTATAAGGCGTTATAGTAGATACTTGAATGAAAAAGCATTTTCCTACAGACAAATGGCATTTGACTTTGCAAGAGTGAAGAAAGGGTAAGCAAAGTTTAGATATGTAAATTAATAAGGTTGTCTGAACCATGAAAATCTTATTTGTGGCATTACACTTAGTTTTAGTTTCTCAGTGACTTTGTTGTTATATGCTTTGTGTAGCTACAATGAAAAATCTGATTTTTAAAGTACTTGTAATTGGTTAAAGAAGAGAGGAAAGACTGGGTAGTAAGACAAATATTAAAGACTGAAGTAAGGTGCCTTGCAAAACTGGGGGCTTTTACTGCTAGTTTTAAATCTTGCCCTAATTAAATTTGGCTGCAGTGAGGCTGCATTTAGGATTTGGAGAAGGAAACACTCTGAAACTATGTTTAGGATGTTTCCTTACTCTCCAGACACTTTCCCTAAGAAAGGTGGCTGATTGCAAACAAAGCCTGAAGTGAACACCTGAAGTTCTTAGCAGGCAGCAGAGCAAACAGTTATAAACTGAACAGAATAAGTTTGCAAACTGCTGGTTTTATTTCTCACAAGAGCTGTGTTAAAAAAACAGTTGGCCCAGCCCAGAGTAGTGTGCTGGTATTTTTGAGAGCATTTTTCTGGTCTCTGACTCCTCTAACTGGGACTTTAAGGGCTCTAGATGCTCTCTTGAAGCACAGTTGACACAGCAAGTGGCTTAATGAAGGTGCAGCTCGATTGAGTGCATACTAAAGATGCTCCTGCTCATCATGAGTTGCATACAGGATCCTTCTGGCAGTTCTGGTGTGTTCTGCAGCTTGGGATTCTGACCTGTTAATGCAGGCATCACTGCAAACCAGGCTGTTCTCTCCTGCTTCTGAAACAGCCAGAAAGTGTAAGGGTGTACCATGGCAGCTTTGCTGTGTAGCTGGATGCTATTCCCTTAGTGAGGACCATACAAGTTTGCTCTTGAACAATTGATGTTAAACAAATTTAAGTTTGGGCTGCTGGGGATCCTACTGTTCCTGCCTTGCTCTGAATTCCTGGAAAGGTTTTCTCTACCTGTTATTTCTGGTGCTCAGAACAAGGTGCTGCCTCAGAATGTAGCATAAAATAAGTAAGAATAGTGGTATGCATTTCCAGTCTGCACAAATATACCTATACCTGTCTGCAGCAAGAACGGGGCAATACATAATGATGGTTGTGCAGGTTTGTCATAATCAGAGATAAAAGTGACCATGCTTGAAGACTGCTATAAGACTGTGGATGACACTTAAGAAATGCTACACATCCATGGACATGTCAGCTGTGAGTTGTCATTGGTTATTCATAACAAACTTTGTGCACAAAGTAGATCAGTTCTCTAAGTACTTCCGTGGCAGTATTTCTAGTTTGTCATTTAAGCTCCCAGTGTCATCATTCCATAAAGAGATCAATCTCCTGCATTCATCACTCTAACACAAAACCTTTCCTCACTTGCTGTTAGGAAGGGTGGCTGGATAAAGGATTTTTCGTGTTCTCATGATGGCATGAGAAGCAGGAGAATCAGACTGTGCTTTTGAGATGGTTTGAAATGAGTTATAGGTGCTTCAAGCATAAATTTTAGACCATAGATCAGTTTGGGGAAAAGGAGAGAGGAAACAGCATAGCTTCTGATCTGTATTCCCTCTTGCAGAGCTGAAGGTGTAATGAGAACAATGGCTCCTGAAAAGCTGCTGAAGAGTATGCCAATATTACAGGAACAAATTGATGCACTACTTGAATTTGATGTATGTATTGAAGCTGACCTGCTATTAACACTGGGTAGTGACTTATAAATGATGCATTATAATGAACACATTTCACCTTGTAGGTAATGCTTTTACTCATCATCCCTAAGTGAGGGCCAAAAAATCCCCTTTTCAGTGTCCCACTGAGATATGGATGGCCTTTGCCCATATGTATGAAATGTAAAGATTGCACTTTTGGTTTTGTAGAGAGAGAGAACTTGGAGTTTCATCTTCTGCATCAGTGAGGGGGAAGAAATGGACAAAGCAAGGAGGATGAACACTATTTTCTGTCTCTTGGCATCCAACTTCTTTTGGTGGGGGGGGAAAACCCCATTAAAATACCACATATACATTGTTTGGCTTCCTCAAAATCTTCATCTGGTTTTCAACTGTGGACTGAATCGGCTGAAGTTTAATATGGGTTGTTCATAGAAATTACTGTGTACCCTGTAATAAATGCTGGTGGGATTGTTTATCTGACCTAAGGATAAAACCAGGAATCAATTGTTGTAGCCACAACAATTGTGGAGCCACAGCGTAACATTTCAAAGAGGTTTTTGAAGGAATTGGTTCTTCTGTTGTTGGTGGCCAGCAAGGTACACTTTGAGGTGGAAGGCAGAGCCTACTACAGCTCTCAGAGGAAAGGCTTTGAAATGCATGTCTCATTTTGCTTTCCATTCCTTAAATGGCATAAGAATTGTGATAGTTCTTTCAGAAGAGGAGATATTTTTAATAAAAGAAAGAACTTTTAATGAGTACATATTTTCTTTCCAAGTTAATGTGAGAAAGGATCTTGACATCATTAGTTCAAATACATTGTCTCATAGACTATTAAGTTTTTGTTGAGCTCTGCTGTAAACTGACATCTTTTGTCCATTTCATTAAAACTGTAAACAGCATCCCTGCCTTCCTCTTCTTCATGGTAGGCGAAGGAGACAAGACTAAGACGTTTACTGTTGATGTGGATGCTCCTCTGATGTAGGGGATTGTTTTGGAGTGGTGAAGAAAGCAATCCTTGATCTGCTAACCAAAGCTTTTGTTTAGTGTCTTAGTGCTTCAGTGCTTGATTCTGTCTATAACAGCATCAAATAATTGGTACAAGCCAAAATGTTTGATTGCATTTGACGCTTGTTTTGTATATAACTGATGTTTTATTTGTAGGTTCATCCAAATGAACTGACAAATGGTGTCATAAATGCTGCATTCATGCTTCTCTTTAAAGATCTCATCAAACTTTTTGCTTGCTACAATGATGGGGTTATTAACTTACTAGGTGAGTAACCTGGCTGTTATCTCACATACCATACGTGACTGAAGTGTCAGTTTCAGATCTGCTCTTTTTTACTTAACTTTCATTAAAGCTACATTTTTCTTGATCCTTGTATTCTGAAATGAGGGAAAATTTTAAGCTGTATCCTCTTACATTAGTGTTTATCTGAGGCTGGATCATCACATGTCATTAAAAGTGTGTAGATGGATACTTTGGACAGTGGCCATCTCTGTGCTAAAAAAACGTACAGTGCTGTGTGAGCATGTGTAATATGTCCTGCAAAGTTAGAAGCCTTTGCATTTTTAAGATGCTCACATTCTTCTGTTATATATCACAGAATCAATTGGGTTGGAAAAGACCTCTGAGATCATTGAGTTCAACCTGTGACTGAAAACCACCTTACACTTAGACCATGGCACTGAGTGCCACATCAGTCTCTCCTTAAACATCCCTAGGGATGGTGACTCCACCACCTCCCTGGGCAGCCCATTCCAATGTCTGATCACCATTTCTGTGAAGGATTTCTTCCTAATGTCCAGCCTAAACCTTCCTGGCACAGCTTATGTCTGACTGTGTCCTCTTGCTAGTTGCCTGGGAGAAGAGACCAGCCCTCGCCTGGCTATAACCTCCTTTCAGGTAGTTGTTGAGGGTGATAATGTTATGTGATAGCCTTGTATGAAGTAATATACTCCTGAATAACATTCCTCATCTGCAACCCTACCTACCATCAACCTCCAAAGTGTAAAGGAGGCTGTGAGCATGTTCTGAAGCTCAGGCAGCCTGGTGTGATCACGACACAATGGGTTGGGCATAAAAATTCAGTTGAAATTTCACTGTCTACTGCTACATAAAGCGTAAGTTTGGGTTTAAATATGTGGCAGCTGTGTTTAATAATGGACATAAATGGACTTTAGAGACTTACTTAAGTGGAAAAAACAGAGTTCTTTGGAGTGAAGGTAATTTGGAGAGGACATATACTAATATGTGTTTAAGTATCCTCAATTATTTTAAACTTTAAGTTGAGTAGCTATTCTTACTTTAAAAAAAGGAAAGTTTTTTTACAAAGTTTTACAGTTTTTAAAAAAGTAAAAAGTTTTTACTTTTAAAAAACGTTTTTAAGAAAGTAGTTGACGTCACACACAATGCTATGGCTAGCTGGGGTTCAATTTTATGGTCTATGTAATTCTTTAGCAGCTCAGCAAGCCCACCTTCTAAACTATACTAGGCAAGAGATGCCACTAGATTAATGTCCAAGTAGTAAATGTTAATGTAGTGTCATATTCTTGACACAAGATTTTTCTGAAAATGAGACTTGCTGGTACAACATCTAATGAAAGACAACTGACATTTACCATATTATTTCTTCAGAGAAATTTTTTGAAATGAAAAAGGGACAATGTAAAGATGCTCTTGAAATCTACAAACGATTTCTAACTCGAATGACCAGAGTATCAGAGTTTCTTAAAGTTGCAGAGGTAAGTGGCTTTTGGTCTTTTGGAGGTTGGCACTTAAGTGTTTTGTGATTTTCTTTGTTTGGGGTTTGTTGTTGTTGGTTTTTTAGCACCAATGTAAAATATTAATTGCACTTGTTAAGCATCTGTCCTAAGGGCTCTTGGATCCACTGGATACATCCAAGTGGATCTGGATCTTGGATCTGCTTCTTCAGGTCTTGTAGTTAAGCCCACATAGGACTTCTACATGTCTCTATGGTGCAGCCAAACCCAAACTTTCCTGGTTAAACTAACAGATGACATGACTTCAAATGTTCCAATATTTTTGAGAACTGCTGTGATAAATGCATACTTCTAGGACAGAGTTGAACATTAGAGGAAGATACAGCAATTGGGAATAGAAACTTGCAGATATTTTAAGTCTGTTTTTTTTAGTCTGTGCAGCCAACATTAAGTTAACTGTATATGTGAGATTTTCCTGGCTTTGTTCCTTGTTATCATCCTCTTATGTGGATAATTGGAATATTACATGGTTAATTAACTCCTTTGCTGGATTCTCGTTTGTGGAAGTTGGCTCTTTGGCACAGGGTGCACATTTTCTGTGTTTCATACTTTATTATAATGGACAGTAGTAATGAGCTGAATAAAAAGTTTGTTTCTTTGCTAATTCACTTATCTACGGAGAAGCTTGATAAGCTCTTTAATGACTTGTAATGTCAGATATGAATATTGAATTTGAGGGAGCAAAGTACTTCAGAGACACAGGTCAACTTTTTGGACAGGGGTTATAGTGACTCTGCTTCAGGTTTACAAGGTGCAGTGGAGCTTGCTGCTCTTCTGAAAAAGTTGAGCTAGCAGTCACTCTAAAGAGCCATAGTGTGAAGCAACAGAATATTAATTAATATTAATAGGCTACTAATAGAAGATTGCAGACTTAGACCTTAATTTGCTGTCCTCTGAGACAATGGTATATATGACCAGTGTATTTCAGTGGAGTATGAGTTTCATGCATGTGAAATCAAGCTCCATTTTCTTATCCTTTTATTTTAAATGGATATTTAATTTTTTTTGGGAAAAAAAGACTGCTGCAGGCTGTTGAAGGTAGCTACTGGAAGGATGGAAATGTCCTTTCTAACCTTGTAGTATTTTTCTAAAGACAGGGTGCATTATAGCTTGAAGAGCAGTTCTACTCAAAATTAATGCCTGCTGCAGTGGAATGATGCACTTAGATTTTACCTTTACTATTTTATCTCCACAGCAAGTTGGAATTGACAAAGGTGATATCCCTGATCTTACACAGGTAAGCTTCTCTTGTAGTCTTCTTGGATTTGTGTAATAAATAAAAGTTCTGTAATTAGGAAAGCACACCAGGAATGTGAATGTGGGTGAAGTCATACCACCAAACATGCTGTAGCTGCTGGTCTATTTTAAGTATCACTTGCAAATTGGCCTGGGTGTCTGGCTTTGTGTTTAATGTGAAGAGGATATTTACTTAGAGGAGGAGATACATGCTGAAGAGTTTACCTGTGGCAGTTTTGATGCCAGTAAAATGGGAACAGAAGAGCAACCCAAACTACTTAGCAGCTGCAAACCCCAACTGTTCATATAGTTTTTGTTCATGCAATTTTTGGTAACATCTTAAAAGCCTGGTTTAAATTAACATCAGAATAGTTTTTTAGTTAAATGCCGCTTAAAAATTCTGAAAAGTGAGACATTGTGAGAAGGTGGAGATAATTAATCTTTGTGGATTTCCAATACAACAGGGCTATAAAGCCTGGCCACTCTTTCAGCATACAAAAACAGCATGTGCAATACCAGAACTAATCTTGAAAGAGCTGACTTAGTATCTTCCCTTAACTCTGCACCTCAGGGGCTCTTTTTTAACACAATGCAGTCAGTGATGAACTAAGTCCTTAAACCAGGAGAAATCACCTGGAACCCAGTAAATGAAATTTACTTTATAGATTTCTGTGGCGCTTTTATGTGCTTCTGCTTTTGTTGCTCCAGCCTGTTCTGCATCATCAGTCAGTGCTGCACTTGCTCAGCAGCACCTTAGTTACCATTACCAGACGGTCCCTTCCACTCCATGAGCTAACACTTTAAAATAGATCAGTTCTTTTGGAAAGAAGGGGTCTACAATGACCATCTCATCCAACTTCCCGACCACTTCAGTCTCTGCTCAGGTAGTCCCTCGCAGCTCTATTCTCCCAAAGGCTGCTTGGGACTCACTTGCTAAGGCTAGCCTGAAACATGTTGTATAGCCTATATATAAGATCTCAGCAGCGTATTCCAGAGAGAAATAAGTAAAAGGTGGATAATAAAACTGAATTTCATCTAGCAATTAGTACATAATTCTATGTAGTATCAATGGTATACCCAAGTTCCTGTAGCAAGCCGTGGCAATAGCCAATAATATTCTGCAAGAAGTTGGTTGTGCTGACACTCCGTGTGTACATACTCCGTAAATCTAGACAAGCAGTCCCAGTTGTGTAATTCAAGTTGATAGTTGTCATCTTTGGACTTCATAGTTTGGCTGCAAAGGTTTGGAGGATGAGAAGGCATCTTAGCAGCTAAAAATTTTGGCTCATTTTTATTTACTACCATTTCCTAAAGTATGACAGTTTTGCTGCTATTAGCTGGTGGGGAACCCGTATCTGAAGTTCCAGCACTGATAGATTATCTAATGTCAAAGCAGTATTTAGAAGAAATTAAGTGATGTCCACTGTTGCAAATTGGGTACCAGATAGTATTGCCTTTCCAAATTGTTGCATCTGGGTAGAAATTTTCTGAAGCTGCTTCTCTGAGTTCTGTTTGATAGATAAGTTTTATATTGCCCTGCTGGTTTTTAAGAAATCTTCATATTAGTATATGTTGGAAAGCTATCTAAAATGTCTAAAGGTAACTGGTTACAGTAAATCACGCAATCTTTTTTTAAATTTTTTTTTTTTTAAAAATATAGCATTTACTTGCATGTTAAAGTCTCACAATGTGTATCTTAAAATAAAGCCTTTTTGAGTGTGTAAAAGTCTGAATCTCTCTGGATTTTTTAGTTTATTTTATCTTTGCCTTACTTCCTGCTGAAGAGTTATTATAACTAGGTCACTTGTGTTTAACCAATTCTTATTATGCCCAAATGAATTAAAAGTTAATAAATATGCCTGTAAAAGAAGCAAGGTCAAGGTGTCTCTTCATTGCTTATATACGTAGGATGTATTTAAACTCAATCTGTCATTTGAGATTATTTTGAGCATTTTAAATTTCTGGATGTGTTAAGTTACTGGGTTTAATGCTGAAATCAATATGCATTGCAAATCAATGTGTACTGCAAGTACCCAGCTGTGCATTGGTACTAGCAGGTGCTATGCATCCTGAAATATCTGATGCAGCCAGCTAGCTGGTTTTCCAGTACAGGAGCAGTGGAGAGGCTGTTTCCGAGCATCACACACTGACTTGTTTGGTAATTACGTCTGCCCTGAAATTAAAGAAGTTATTTATGAAAAACATCATAGGTATTGCTGTCAGGAATCGTGGTTGATCTGAAAGAGACTGATAAAGAGAATTCCCTGTTTAGAGACTGATGAACTTGTAACCCTGATGAAATATTCAGTTATTATATGCTACTGTGTCTCTCAAGGATTTCTTCCCTGCTTGTTGGTCTTCTAGGAGTCTACTTATCCAGATTCTATTTTTATACTGGAATAACTAAGCCCAGTGTGCATTTATGACTACTTTTTCTATCTGCCATTGTAACAGCAAGTGCCTGTGGGTATTGGCTGATGACCACAAAACGGTTGCTTAAAATAAAGCCTAAGATCAGGGATGTCTGAAAAAGCCTAGTTTTTAATAGATGTCTGAAATAGCAGTCTTTCTTCACTTCAAGCTAGTAACCTGTGCCAGGGTACCATTTTGAGAACAGCTGTAAGGTTTTGTGATGTTGGGAGTCTTGAGCCAAAGGTAGCTCCTTCTGGGGGGCGTTGAAAAGGACTTTGTTTTGTTTAGGCTGCAAATGCTTTCTAACCCTCTGGTCATGAAAGAGGTGTTGGAGGGTCTGACTTCAAGCCAAACTGAAGGTTTGAACCTTTGAGTCTTAAAATCAACCCTGTGGGTGCCTGTGCTGTTGTCAGTGTTTAATACTGATTTACACCATGATGAGCAGCACATCCTGGATTTAGGCTTCAGGTGCTGTACAGTGGAGGTTAACGTTTTCTCTCTGCAAATCTGGGTGAAGTAATACATTTTTGAAAACTGGCTTTGCCTGAATACTTCTAGCATAGAAATCCACTGTTTCCACGCTGGTGTAAATAAAGTAACTGCATGAGCGCGCACATAATGGACTTCAGGGAAGTTGGTGCTGGATTTCAAAGTCTGGTTAGATCACTGCAATACACTGAGGTGTGTATCTTTCTCTTCCCTTTCAAGGCTCCCAGCAGTCTCATGGAGACCCTTGAGCAACATCTAAACTCACTGGAAGGAAAAAAACCTGGCAACAAGTAGGTATATATGTTGTACCATGTATCATAATAGACAGTGTGAGATTAGTTGAAGTTTAGGTTTGCCTCCCCAACCTTCTTTTGTCACTTAGAAAATGAGACAAGGCTTTTCCTTTCGTTTACAAAGTCATCTTAATGGCTGGTTTAATCTTAGTTAATGGTGGTGGGGGAAGCACACAGAGAAACTAGACGCTTTCCAAAATGAACTAAAATTATTTGAAGAAAACTAGAAGGAACTGGGAGTTTGCATGCTGCTGAGGCTTCTGTCATCAAAATTTATTTAATTTCTAATGGTTTTACATCTTCATACTAGATGCTTGCCATGGCTAAGTGTAGGAAGGATTAAGCTAAACCTCTGTTTTTCTCTTTTACTGTTGCTATCCTTGCAATTTAGTGAAGGGTAAGTACATACCTTTACATATCACTTGCTTGCAGGCATGGTCATGTGTGTTTTTAAAAGATTTTCTCGGACACTTAGATATTTTCTTTGAGTTGAGCTAAACTGTTCTTTGCTTTTGTATATAGTCATTAAGTTATTTTTTTGTCATTTCTGTGATTAAAAGATCTGGAAATCTTCTAATCTGTTCTACAGCTCCTAGGACTTATCCAATTCAAGTAACTTACAGGATGGATGCTAGTTCAATACTGGTGCAGCTTTATCTTCAACTCCTCCTTTCATCTCTTAGATCAAAGCAGCTCTAAAAATATGTAGCAGCATTTTCATACCTCATAATGAAAGCAAACAAATGCACTGACGTGCATTTTAAGTTATGATTAAGGCTCTGTCAGTTACTGTTAGTGTGATTTTTGTGCATGTGGGAGAACTTTCAGCTTGAACTTTCCAACTCACTGTTTTCATACTTTTAAATGTAGTTATTTTCAAGTAACTCAGACTTTCTTTAAAAGTAGACTTTGAAAACTTGCTGACACATCCTCAGAAGGCTTATGTTAGATAACTGCTTCAGTATTGGTGGTTCTTTGCTGTTGTTGCATGGTTTTCTAATATGGTGACATCTTGCCCCAGTAACTCTTTCCTGCTGGGTCCTGTAAGCTCCAAAGCAAGATGTTTGCATGCATCTCTGCATTTCCTCCATTTAGTAGAGCTTATTTAAAAGGCAGAATAATCCTGCGATGACAGTTTGCTTAAAAGATTAATTTAAGATTTAAAGTAAAACTTACATTCCTTGTCTAAAGTGGCACATGAAAGTTTGAGAAATGTGGAGGGCATGCAATTGAAGAGATCTTCAGAAAGCTTTCATGCTTAGGTTTTGGTCTTTTTGCAAGAGTTTTGCTGACCAGAAACATAGTTTCAAAGCTGTACTTATCTGAAAACCCCCTTTTTTTTCCTAGATCTGGGGCTCCTTCTCCTCTGAGCAAGGTAAATACTGCCAGTTGCTGTACTAGATAATTCTTGTTCAGGTGATATGGTTTAGAACATTGTAAGGAGTTAAATTTCCATCTCTTAATCTACTTTTTAGACTTTGCCTCCTAAGAGACAAAATTTTATCTTTCAATGGCTTTATAAATAGTGGCTCCATAAGAGCATGTCAGTGATCTGAAGGGCTGCAGTGCTTGTACCAGTCAGGATGTTAAGGAACTTTACCTGGATGTGATGATTGCTCCTTGTGAAAGCATAAAAGATACATGTATTTTTATCTCAATTTTTTTTTTTTTTTCCTTTCACTCCCCTTAATTCTCATGTCACCAAGAAACTTGCTCCAGTATTTTGGGTATTTCTCCTCTAAATCCTTCACTCCTTCACTCCCTCCATGGCTTTTTAGGAGGAAGTTCTGACTCTTTCAAAACCACATTCATAACCAAAAACCAGGAAGAAGGGAAGAAAATTTTCATCCAATATATCTATTTTCAGAATTGACCTTCATTAGTGAGGCTGCTGACCTTAATTTAAAGCAAGAGTTGCCAAGTTGAAAATGCCTTGAATTGAGTGTCAAATAAACTAATGAGCTTTATGGTGTTAGTGATAGCTCCTGGTATCCCTGGAGCATTGCCAGGTACCATAGCTGTGTCTCATAATAGGTGTTATGGAGGAAAAACTCAATGAAATCTTCTGACTCTAATGCAGGGGGTTCAATATTTGATTCTAGAGAAAGCTCTTAAATTTCTTTCTGAAAGGCCCTTTACAAAAAAAGCCCACAACAAAACCAAATGAAAACAACAAAATGTAACCCCCCCAACTCTGCTGTTTAATATGAGAGCAGTTGGTGAGACCTACATGACAGCTCAGAAAGTGTTCTTACAGCTTCAGCCACATCTTCCTTGTTGCACATGAGGGATTGAGACCATGATAGCCTCAAACCTTACTAAAGCTTTGAGGAGAGAGTAGAAAGCTTTCACCCATCTGGTAGAGTTATGATGATGGGATGGCAGTAGAAGGACTCAGAAGAAAATCCCTTCAAATTTGCCATTCTTTTTCCTTCTTGGAAGTGGTCAGAATGGCAAAAAGTTCTAAAATTAGGACTTGTTTTCAGTTGTTAAGAAAAGAATCTCTCTAGCATGTGAGATGCTGTACCAAAGCTTACAGTGTCTTTTAGAATTAAATTGACACTCCACAAGGTAACTTGAGTCTTCAAGTTCACAGAGGAGTTGCAATATACTCTCCTGGGTGTCTGTCCTTGCCATACTTGAAGTATCTTTATCCAGAATTGGTGCAGCTAATGAAGCAAAGTCATAGGATGAGCTGTCTTTTGTATCTTCCTAAGGACTTAACCTTGAGTGCTGTTGATGGCTCTTTAAACTCTCTTCTGAAGGTTTACAAAAAACACTTTTAATTAGTTGCTAACCATTTCTCTTCTCTCACCATTTCTGTGGTTAGAGTACTGAGGTGCTGTTCTGGACAAACAGCTATTTCATTCCATAGACAAAATGAAGAGTCTTACAATTACAGAAACAACTCCTTTAGAATAAAGGAGTTGTAGAAACTTTTTTTCCTTCTTTGGAGTCACCTTGGTGTTTCTCAGCTCTACTACCATCTGAAAACATAGCCCAGTCTTCCTTAAATTCATTCAGAGGAGAAAACAGCTCACAATAAAAAGACCTGATGTCAAAATTTGGTTTTGAAGTAGGTGCATCTGTGCATGAGTTGGTTGGGGAGAAATGCTGGTATATTGAATGTATATTTAAAATATTTCTCTAGTCTTCTCCAGCCACGACTGTTACATCTCCTAGTTCTACTCCAGCAAAAACTATTGATACATCTCCTCCAGTTGATCTTTTTGCAACTTCATCTACAGCTGCTCCAGTCAGGTAAGCTAAAAAGTGTGTTTGAGTTACTGAGCTTGTTGTAGCTACCAAAGTCATACTTGTAAGAGGAGGCTTGCATGAGAGGCTTTGCTTATTTTACAAGTAGTGTATATCAGTTTTCAATGGGATACATTATTCTACCACTATAGATCACAAATAAACTGTAACCAAAAAAAACCACAAAAAACACAAATAAACAAAAAACCCCACTCAAAAAAACCACAAAAATACTTCTACTTAATCACAAAAATAAAAACTTCTAATTGAATAGACTGAAGTAATGTGCAAGTCCAGAGTAATCTTCGCTGATCTTCAGAATTCTTTCTAAAACTGCTGAATTAATTTCCTTTTCTTTCTTTTCAAATCAGTTAATGAAGCACAAAGATAATGAACTTCTGAAGGTTAAAATAAAAAACAAACATTTTGTCTGTGAGAAAATCTGAACCTTACTTTCAAGTCAAAGCCAGAACAAAGTGCTGTTGCTCATTGTAAAGTGCAGAAGTGATTGAACTCTAGAGATGTAAAAACTCTAAGCTTCAAGCTTAGAGACAGACTCTTGTCTGTAAGATGTCACTAATTTAAGTGTCAAGTGAAGCACTTCACTGAAAAAAAGAGCTTCTGTTGTTTGTTATTTGAACGTTCTAGATGAATAAAATCTGGTTTCCTAAGTAAATACCTAATTTTCTAATTGAATACACAGAAGGTTTGCCAATTCTCTTCTACCTAAAGCCAGTTCATTGCCTGGAAATGCAGGTTTCTTGCTTTCTGACATGGCATGATGAAATATGGTTTCAAGGTGGTGGTTTCAGTCACAACAGTTATTTTCTCTGTTTTTAGGGACCACCCGGAATTTTGCATTTTCTGTTTTGTGTGTTGTGGTGGGGTTTCTTTTGGTTTGGTTAGTTTGGCTTGGATTGGGGTTTGGGGGTTTTTTGGGTTTTGTTTTGGTTTTTTTGGGTTTTTTTGTTTTGTTATTTGTTTTTTTTGTTTTGTTATTTGGGTTTTTTTGTTTTGTTATTTGGGGTTTTTTTTAAGGATTTGAAGTCTTGTAGATCTGTTGCAATGCCATTATCAGGAATTGGAAGTGAGTTAAGTTCCCATCCTGGGTTGTAGCATATTTTTGGGATTCACTATACTAGAGGTGCTTACGGTCACTGCTCTAATCATAAAGCCTGACAAAATGTCTCTATTTCATCCAAACTAAGGCTGATTCCTTAATCCAGTCATGATGTTTAAAAAAAAAAATTATTAAAATGGAAAAATTCCTCCAGTATTTAATGTCTTTCTTCCTTTTCTTGGCAGCTCTTCCAAACCATCCAGTGATCTTTTGGATCTTCAGCCAGATTTCGCTGGTACTGGGCAGGCAGCTCCAGCCCCTGCTCCTGCAGGCGCTGCTGCTGCTACTGCTGCTGCTGCTGCTGGAGGCACTTCATGGGGAGGTAGAGAAACCTCACTATCAGCATCCCTTCTTGCAGTCTCCATCTCCTTGCCTGGCTGAACTGAAATCTGCCTCTTTCTCTGCTAGCACAGGATGTTCCCAGCTCACTCCCAGGCTCCTGCTGACCTGAAAGTCAGGCATCCCTCTGCAGCACAAGGCTACTTCTTCTTTCCAGGGATATGCATAATAGTATAAGCTGCTTATAAGGGTCTGACTGCAAAGCTGAGGGAGCCAGGATTATGTGACTAAAAGTGAGCAGGAAGGGGATGCATGAAGGTGAGCAGGTAGGGTAGGCACTTCAAAACAGAAGAACCAGAACTGCTTATGTGCTTATTGGCAAGGTGGGGGCAGAAACCAGCTCTTCTGTTCCTGGAGCAAAGCCCACAGATCAATAGGAGGAACAAAAATAGCTTTTAAAACAAAAATGCATGTAAAGCAAATGGTGGCAATTTAGTTCTGCTGCAAGTGTGATTACCTCTGACAAGCCTTAACATATTTTAATAAAGTATCTCGCTTGTGTGCTTAGAATATTAATATGGAAATAGAAGTAGAGGGCTAACTGCTTTCAAGCAGGAATAACTAACCAGCTCTCTGAAATCTGACCCTGTTGTTCCAGGCAGCAGTAGCAGCTGGTGATCTGGAGGGCCACAGTAAATGTGGGCAGTGCTCACTCTTGTCCTGTTAAAACAAGGAATTACGCCAGTAAATGTGATTTAATTTACACAGTTGTAAACCCATTGTGGTGTAATCTTCAGAGATCCTGTGTGGCAGCTTAATGAACTCGTCAGCCCTCTCCCGGCAGGAATGCAACACTGAGTCATGCTGACTCTGCTCTCAGCTCATCCTGGCTGCTGGTGGCTTCTGCAGTCCCTGTTTCTTAGTTGTAGGTCATTAAAGATGACACTGTATTTCAGCCACTTCATTATGAGAGGATAGCTAGGGCAGTGATGTAGACGTTGTATTGCATATTCCAGTTTAATCTGTTGAATTAATTTCTTTTTTTTTTTTCCCACAAATGTCAATTTTATTAACAGAAATATAATCTTACCCAGACAGCAAGACCAGAGTCATCTATTCTAGGGTGCCTGTGACTAATTATTCTGCAGTATTTTGATTGCATCCTATCTGTCTTACTTTGTCATTGCCAAGAACTGGAATACAAACTTGTGAGATGTTTGAAAGAGCTAACTTTTTAAAGCAATTGCTCATTCCTGCAACAGTAGAAATACAAATAAGTAGCCAGTAATATTGTAAAGTATTGATTTGCTTAGAAATTGAAAGCTGATTTGTTGTGGATTTTTTTCTTTTTGGACAAAATACCATAGTTTGGAACTTAGGTGTTTTTATTTTCCAAATTACTAAAAAATTTAAAATTGACTAGTAATGCACTCAGTGTTATTCCATGACAGAAAAGGATAGCTAACTATTTTCCAACAGACAGAATTGTCACTACCCTCATCAAGTATACCTCAGTCATATCTTTCAGAATACTTAGTGCACTGGAATCTTGTTGGTTTTGTTTTTTGGTTTTTTTCTCTCTGAAAGATTGAAAATATTTCACCTGGAGGGTAGGGCAGTACTGAAGTAGATCCCTGAATGTGAACTAGTAAACTCTCCATTCCTGGAGATTTTTCAAGACCTGACTAGTCTGAGCCATGGCTGACCTGTTCTGGTGTTGGGAGCACTGTTCTGAACAAAAGGCTGAACAAGATGACCTTCCTTCCAGCCAGGACTTTTGGGAGGCTGTGTAACCATGCCTCCCTGCTACTTGAGCTGCTTTTTCTTCTGGGCTTCAGCAGGTTAATGTGGTAACTCATGAGAAAATAGTACTAGAGGGAGGAAGCTGGAAGGAGTGCTGCAGTTCAGAATAGCCAGGAAAAATCTGAATATCAAATACTTCATGTTGCAGCATCAGTACATATCAACAATAAGCAATCCTGTTTTTCTCAGTCTCACTGGCAGTGTAGATTCTATGTATTTTGGAATATGCTGTATATTTAGTCTAGTGGATTATATTTGGGGTTATGTAGAGTACACTGTATATTTTGTTGTATACCTACTGTGTTTCTGAGTACACAATATGTCACCTGGCAAATGACCTAGAACTTGTGAAAATTTACCCTTCTGTGCTATCAAGAGACCATCAAGATAGGGTAATATGGTGCCTGCAGGATACTGCAAGGAGAATAGATAGCCATTTAGCAAGTAGACTATAGTATTACAAAAAAATACAGTAGGTCAAAGTCTGCATCTTTGTGAGGTTTTTACTCTTTGATATAAAAGCAAACTGACTTGAATTTTTGCTCTGAACTACCTTACAGTGTGCCTTAAAACATGGATTTGCTAACAGTTACTTTAATATTAATGTACAAAAATCCACTGTTTTCAATCATTCCCATATTAAGACTAAGTGTAGATTGCTGTGCTGAATAATTGTAATTTCACTGCATTGAGTTCTATAACATAACTGGATAACAAAAAGGCATTGAAGACTAAGGTCATGGAACTTAAAAGTTTGCCAACAGTTGTTTATTTCAAGTCTAGCTGTGAGACAGTCACCTGGTGTGCGGTAATGGGATAGCAGAGTGCTGCATTTTTAATGTACTGTTCTGCTCTTTCAGAATGGTATTTTGACTTAGTTCAGCTTGTGCCATCAGTCTCAAGTAAGAGCTCGCCCAAGGAACCAATTAAGAAAATTGAAAATTGTAAAAAGCTAAATGTAGGGTTTCTCTGCCTTTTTTTGCAAGTGTTTTACGAGTGTAAAATAAAGACAAATTTGTGAAGATAGGGCTGCGCCTGCTTAAATCATTTTGCTTCCAAATGCTGACTCACAGTAAAGCATCAGGACTCTGCTTGCTGTTCGTTGTGGATCAGATGAACCCATGATCCTGTCATGTGTACAAAGAATCTAGGAGCATCACTGAGATACTGGTTAATAAATAGGTGTTTGCTGAGCTCAGACTATCCTAACTACAGAATAAAAAATTAATAGGAAAAACTCATTAGTTTTCACATGTTTTTATATCTCATAGTTTATTTTTATGTAGGCAAAACTTCTGTGTTTGAGCTCAATCTGACTGATCTTAGAGGCCATCAAATAGTAGGAAAGTGTGTCATTAAAGATGCTTCATTGGCTTCCAGAAACCGTTGACTGCAGAGCCAGACTTGGAGCAGAGCCAGTGTGCTTATGCTTAGGCTGTCAACATTCATACTCCTCATAGCAAGTGTTAACAGAGTTAGTTGTTCCTGCAGAGCATGTTTGCTCTAACATAAATGCAGAAAAAGCCTTTGAAGAGGAGCTGCTCTGTTGATTTATTTATTTATTTATTTTGCACTTAACAGTTGTCCCAAGTCCAAGAACCGCCACCTGGCTGTCTCTCAAACTATATTTGGGGACTAGGGATGCCATGTATCATATCCTGAAGTAGCACTATTTGCAAGCTGCTCACTGCTAAAGTACCCTTGCTTTAGTGCCTATTCTGTGAAGGGTTCTAGGGATGGACTGATTCTGTTTTGAGGAGTTATTAAACAGAATGTGCTTTGTCGTGTCAGAATAACTTATTGAATGTTAGAAATGCAAGTGTAGAAATTATGTTCCAGACATAACCTAGACATGTGATTTAGTGAACATTTGGCTAATGGACATCTTCAATCTCACAGTTCTACTAATTACTCTATTTTTTTATTTTGCTGTCATTTTAATGGACAATCACTAGATCTCTTGGGAGAGGGTGAGTAGTATTTTTGATTTCTAAGACCTGTGTATGTTAAGACTCCTTACTAAAAGCTCCAGCTTTCTGGAGCTGAGCAACTGTGGTCTTTGCCTTTCCCCTTACCTTTCCTGTTTGATCTTCATTACATGGTTGCATATAGATAATCTGGCTGCGCTTTCCGGTGTTACCTCTGAGCCACAGATTTCAGATCCATTTGCCCCAGAGCCTACTGCAGCTACTGCTCCAACTACTGATACTACAACTACTACGGCTGCTGCCGCCACAGCCACCACTGTCACTGCTGCCACTGCTGAAGTGGATCTCTTTGGAGGTTAGTCTGGTTGCTGTAGTGCTCTACACCAGTTCATGACGCAGTGGAAGCAGTAATTGAGCTCAGCTGTGTAACGAGGCCTCTGGTTTAAGCAGCTGCACCAGAAATGCCTGTGTGTTGGATGCTAGATGGAACAGGAAATATGAACTGCCCAACTACCTCTGTTTGCTGTGCTTTTAGCTAATAGACTCCTCTGCCTATACATGGAAAAGTATATGGAAAATTGTAAACCTTAAGGCTGAGTTACCTTATAATTGAACAGCTAAGAACAGTAGTTCTCCAGTCCACATGGGGGTAAGCAGGAACTGTTTCCATATTATTCAATAACTATGCACTCTACCAGAGTTTGAGAAGAGCAGCTGTGCTTTTGTAGTTGAAGAGGATGGATGTGACAGTGTCTGCCCCTTGTCACGCTTTTACTGTGTTGTGTTTCTTTTGGGTATTTCCTGCAAACAGAGTATCGAGACAGCTGAAATTACTGTATTTCAGCAATCTTGAATCTGGGCTTTATTTCAGAAATATTTGCAGTGAATTGAAGGGGTGATGAACTTGTTCTACATGCCAACTATGCAAATAATAATATGTAAAGGGAAAAAATGGGAAAAATATTCGCAGAGTTTAATTATGCTCACTCAGTTTCTAATGTTATCTGCTATCCACCTGAGTAAGAATACATTTCCCACTGTATGTTGTCAGTTTCTTGGTACTTCGGTGGTGCAGGAGGCTTCCCAAGAGCATGCCAGAAATTAATTTCTTTTGAACAATGTACAAGCCCAGTAATGGAGAAACCTTCTTGTTTACAAACTGTTTAAGATCACCTGACCACTGTGTTTTTTTAGTTTTCTCTTATCTCATGCGTATTTCCAGCATGACAGGGGATGTCAGGAATAAGTAATGACTTATTTGTTACCAAGACTGAATTCCAGCGTCTTCTCTATGGGGTGTGTTTATCTGCCA